GCGCCCGAGCGGCGAGCGCTCGCGGAGCCTGGACTCGGCACGCGTGCGCTCCCGGAGGCGCGGGTGCCGTCGGGTCGCTCGGCTCGGCGGGACCGGACCCCGGGCGGGCGCCCACCAACAGCGTCTTGATGTTCCCCGCGCAGGACGCCCTGCCCCGCGGCGGGCTGAGCCTCAAGGAGGAGCCGCTGCTGCCCGCCGGCCTGGGCTCCGTGCGCTCCTGGATGCAGGGCGCGGGCATCCTGGACTCCGGCACCGCGGCGCAGAGGTGAGCTCGACGGGCCGCGCTCGGGTCGGACGGCGCCGCCTGCGCTCCGCCTGCTCTCGGGTCGGGGCGAGGGTGAAGGGAGCCCCAACTCCAGCCGAGTGCGCGGAGAGCTTCGCGCTCGCTCACCGGCGCTGCCTACCAGGCTGCTGGGCGGCCGGGGCGGGGCTTCCGCCCAACTCTGCCGTCCCGGGCTGACGCCTGACGGTCGCTTGAGGGGTCCCGGGCTCAGGAGGAGATGTCCCGGCCGCCCGAAGCCCGGGCCATCACGCACCGTTATAGCCGTCTAGGGACAGCCAAGTCTCCTTGACTCTGCTTGTCAAATTCCTTGGCGCCGCCAAGAAAACCCAGAAACCCTGCCCCTTCCTCTTTCCCACGCCTCTCAGAGTTGGAGGACGGGGGCCGCGCAGGGCCAAAGAGGCAGCGGGGCTGAGTGGCGAAGGGATGAGGTGGGCAGTCGGCCTGGACAGACGGTTAGGGCTGCAGAGAGGGGCGGAGCGCTGCCTCTAGGGCAGGTGATTTGTTTCGTTTCGTTTTGTTTCCGGTTGGTCCAGTGGGAGGCTGTGAGCCCTTGGGAACTCAAAATCCACGCTTATTTCCTCGGAATCTTTTGAAGAGCTCTGGCCAGAGGACATAGGGTGTGTGTGTGTGTGTGTGTGTGTGTGTGTGTGTGTGTGTGTGTTGGAAGGGTGATACTCCCAGATTTGAGATAAGAACTTTGAAGGCTGATCTGCCTCTTACAGCACCTGAGATCTTGGCTTTTTGTAAGGCCAGCTGTGAGTTTGGGGAGAAGGCTATCCACGCTGTAGGGAGTTCATAGTAGCTAACATTAGGGTCATGGCATCAGCTGGGACAGGTTGGCACTGGCTTCTCAGAAGTCTGAGCAGCTGCTGTCCAGTAGCCTGAAGGAAGTCAGACAGGGAGTTGCTCGGGCAGACCAGGCCTGCGCACTGGCCCACCTTCACACTGCAGTGTTGTGCGGGGACACCACGCACTGCCCCCCACCCCACCTCGGCTAGTAACAGACCCTCTTGGGCTTTCAGGGGCATACTGAAGCCGCGTTTCTGCGTGCCTGTTCTTTCGTGGCCATCAAGAGGACCTCCTTGGAAGCTCTATCAGGACTAGTCTGTTTAAAAAAAAAAAAAAAAGATCTTTTGGATTAATTCTTAAAGTTTTACAAGTTATATAAATATGTTATAGAAAAGTTGGAAGATAGAAAAATCAAATGCCACTTGTCCACGCAACGACTGTCAGTATTTTAGTGTGTTTCCTTTTCATTTCCCTTCCTAGTTACTTTCTTTTTCCCATTCTATGCTCATAGTGCTATCCTGCCGGCTTTCTGTGAGTTCTGGCTTTTTCTTTAACTTGAGATGGTGGGTTTCCTTACCTAAGCCCCTCCTTAGCCCCACCTTGGGCTGTGTGGGGAGCGCTCCCTGTAGGCCAGATGAAGAGCTGCAGTCAGTGAAGCCTTTGCCTTTGAAGATCCCTGTTTCTGACTCTCCTGCGCCTGCCTTGAGCTAGCAGGTTGGCTAGAGAGGAAGCGGATGTGCAAGGAGCCTGTGCAGGGTGAAGGAAGTGTAGGGGTGAGGCTCTGGGGACCCTTTCCCCAGCTGCCTGGCCTAACAGGGGCAGTTCTTCAGTGGGGTTGAGGAGTTAAGATGCGAAGCTTGGGCTGCTTCTCCCCAGATCCAGAGACTTTACTGCCTTCAGACCTCAGGTGGGAGTTCCCGTGCATGTGGCTGATTCTCCTCTCCACTTCCCAAAGGAAAGGCTAACCCTTGCACTTCACCCTTCCCCTCCTCGCTGCTACAGTCCCAATCTTGTTCCTCGGTAAGTCTACTGCTCAGGTAACTTGGCCCCAAACAGCAACAAGGCGCCTGCTTTTCCCTGTCCCCCACCTTCCTCTTCACCTCTGCCAGCCTTCACCACCCCCCACCCCCTTCTTCTGCAAGGCTGCTTGGGAGTGGAGAGTTTGTCTGATTTTCAAGGCTTGTGGATGTCTCTTCTGTGTTTTATGCCCAATCTCTGTGTTCATAGCCACTTTAATTTATTTTTATGGTAGTTAGTTAGGATTAAACTTGGGGGGGGAGGGGTTGGGTTTTTTTGTTTTTTGACAGAACCAGGGATTGAACTCAGGCTCTTGCGCTTGCCAGGGAAGTGCTTATTCCCCTGAGCCATCTCCCCGGCCCCAGTTGGGGTATTTATACCGAACTACATTCCTAGTCCTTTCTAAATCTTGAGACAGGCTCTTGTTAAGTTGCCTGGGCGGGTCTCAAACTTGCTGTCCTCCTGCCCCAGCCTCCTGGAGTGCTGAGATTATACAGTCACTGCTTTTAGCAGTGAAACCCTTGCCTTTGGCCCTTTTCATCCCTGGCTTGAAGGATAACGGTGCCCTACCTCCACCTCTTGATCCGGTGCGCCAGCTTCACCCTCTCATCACTCCCCCAACTCAATCTTACATGCATCACGAATCAAAGCAGCATTTCCAAGTGCTTCTGTCTGAGCACATCTCTTCTCTCATTAAAAATAAAGTGACCCACTCCATCGAAGCTCCTGCTTCATCTGGGCTCCCTCCCGCCCCCCACAGCCTCTGTCTTCTGCCTGCTGTCCCTACTTCGTCCTGGAGAGTCAACCTTCAGGGCTCATGAAGCCTGACCTCAGCCTTCCTTCTAGCTCCTGTATGATACTTGGCATACAGTGTTGACAATGAGAGAGCTGCCAGTAAGTCCTACCTCCTCTTAAAACCCACAGAGTAAAGTCTCCACAACACTCTCAAGACCCCAATCCCAGCGCCTGCCCTGGCTGTGCCCTCCCTGCCTGCCCCAGGGCCACAGTTCTTAGTGCTATCTAAGGATGCTTACCTAAGGAAGCCACAGTCTGCTGTCTTCTGTCCCCATCTCCCTGACCCTGCCAGCTGGTGATTTCCTGCAGGGCCAAGATGGTGGCACATTCATCCTGTGTCCCTGGCACCCAGGATTGACTCTCACAGTCTGGAGAGGGACAGTGAGTGCCTTATGAGGACAACAGAGTGCATTTAGAAGCTCCCCTTTTTGCACTACTGGGTTCTAGGAACCGGGTCCTTCCTGGAGCAGCTCTTCCTCCTTAATTTTGCATGTTAGCCTTTACAAAGCTGCCGAGGTTTATAGAAGGTAGCTGAGGAGGGCACAGCCCAGGAGGCTTGCTGAGATCAGTGAGGGAGGCTTAGCCAACAGGAGGCAAAGTTCTGAGCAAGAAAAGTAGAAAGAGAAGGGGGCTCCATGCCCATCAGCTGGAGGAATTCCATGCCAGGGGAGCTTGTACAAGGACCCTGCCATTGCTGTGACTGCTTCTGCCCTGAACCAACAGGACTTTCCCACTGACACCCACATGCCCAGCCCCAGCCCACCTCCCCCTGCCTGCTCTGTGGGCCACATCCTCCTGCTAGTACAGGAGCAGCTCTCTCCTGACTTGTTTTCCCTGCTAGGGAGCCCTCTGGAGGTCCCAGGCCAGCCCTTCTAGAAGACACCCTTGGAGGTCCCAGGCCAGCCCTCTTCCATGAGCTGGTTCCAGCACACAGCCAGGGACTGGGAGAGGGAAGCCAGCTGAGGCTGCCTTTCCTGTAAGCAGCTGCAGGCCAGCCTCCCTGCTAGGAAATGCTTTTGTTCACTTTAATAATTAATAGCCACTCTTCAGCCTGGGACCTGGCAGGCAGGCCTGCAGATGGGTGGCAAGAGAGTGGGCAGAAGAGAAGAGAGGGCAGGAGAGAAAACCAGTGAGACCTTCCTTACCCTTCCTACCCTGCCTCCTTCAGGGACAGGGTCGCTGAGCCAGTTACCACGGGACCAGTGAGCAGAGCTGCCGCCAGGGCTATGAGGCGGGATCCGGAGCCTCTAAAGCTCCAGCCTTCCTCTCTAGCAGACCATCTTCACACAGGTTCTGGCAGCTGCTCCTAGCTGAGGCCCTCCCTCTGCTCACATTGTTGAGGTGGGTGTGCCCCAGCTAACCTCAGTTTTTATCTTCTCTGGTCTGAAGAGTGGCCAGGCTCTGGGAATATCAGAGCCTGGGCAGGATTAAGCCATGATTTTGACCAGGAGCAGGAATGTCAGGCCCAACTTGATGATCAGCAGCAGCCCTCAGGGGCCCAGACGATGCGTTCGGGGAAAGTGGGCACCAATGCAATGCTTAGAGAAAGGGGGGAGGTAGAAAAAGCATTCAGGGGTCTAATGAAGGAACTGCACCTAGACTGGGAAGAGAAGAGCTAGATTTCACAGACAGAGGCTTTAGGGGAATCTGAGGCCAGAGGCAAATTGCAGATCACATAAACTTTTTGTTCTTTCCACCTTGTGGCAGTTGGGCAGGCCAGTCAACAGAGCCTCTTTCCACAGCTGATGAGGTTAGAGCTATTGCCACTACCTCAGCCTCCCACACGTGAAGATGCATCAGATTCAAACCAAAGCACTGCTCAGAACCTTGGATTGTCAAGGTGGGCAAGAGTTAAGAGTTGGTGAGGAGAAGGGAAGGGAGAAGGTCCAGGGTACCTCTGAAGGGAGACCAGGACTCCAGCCTTGTTTACTTGTCCCCTGGAGCTTCAGGGTGACTTGGTTAAACTGGTCATAGTCGTCATAAGGATGTAAAGAGCCACAAGTGGCCTGTGAGTAGAGGACAGAGACTGCAATGGGAGACAGACCATGCCAAAGAGTCTCGGCAGGTTTGTGGCTGCCCAGAGAGGAGCCCTGGGACACCTCAGCCTTGCAAGGAAGCATCTCCTGGGACCCAGGGTGGTCCCAGCAGCCTTCCCATGTGCCCACATGCATCTCTGTGTGCCCTGGAGCGCAGACCACCTGACTCCCAGGCCACAAAGATCAGGTTGCTCTTTGCATCCACTGAACACCACTGGATTCCCAACACTACTCAGGAAACCTTGTGCTTACTACAAGGCCAGATCCTCTAACCAAAAAGTCTGTGTACATGAAATCTGCTCTGGTGTCAGATTCCTTTAACTTGGAGGAATAGATGGAAAGCAGGTGAGTGGGGTACCAGAAATTGGAAAGTGAATGCTTTCTCCTCCCCAGTCAGCATTCTCTGGGACAGGAAAAATGCCCCAGCACCTCCACACTCTCCAGAGCTGAGAAGAAAGTGTTTTTGAGATAAGACAGCTTTTTTCTTTCTTTAAATGTATTTTAGTACAGCGTCTACAGGCTCTCACTATACAGATGGGACTTATAGTGATCCTCCTGTTTTCAGCCTTCCAAGCACTGGGATTACAGGCACACCCCCAGTCTCAGTCTCAGTCAGCTTCTCAGTGCACCCCTGGGGCCAGCCAGCATGGCAAGCCAGGGATTCAGCCGA